CAGTTATATAATACAATAATCAAAATCAAGTTAAATTAAGTTAAATCGAAATCTGTCACGAACTAATTCAACTATCACATAAGCTCCTTGCTCTGCAAAAACATAAAAACAAATGATTTTAATTCAATTAAATATATTTCAACTTATTTCCTTTCAACTCAACAAATAATACAATTATTTATTATTAAAATTATGTACAAGTTTTAGGCATGACCAAACTATGATATAGGAACATTGTTGCCTTATTGCTGCCTGCAGAGATATTTTTTTCTGTCATTTTTAAGACACATATACTTAATCATCTCAGCTTAAATGGAAAAGCTTCCCTGTGCACATTAGACTCGGTGTAATTTATTTTGCTGAGCTCCTCCAACAAATTCCATATGTTAAAGGCTCACTTCAAATCTTTAAATTTGCCAAAAATAAAATAAAGTTACCACATTGTAGTCATAAATGAAGATGATTGTAGTTTAGTGCTTCAGTCAAATTGTGTCCTGGCTGTGGTGCTTTTAATGTGTTTCATCTGAAGGTGTAACTAATTACACTGTAAGGGTTTCAAACACGAATGCCTGTAATATTAGAAAACATCCAAAATGTAGGACAGGAGGACTTATTTTGACAGCTACGTTGACCTGGACTGGGACTAAGTTCTGATTTGGGTCGTGACTTTAAGAAGTTTTAAAGGACCCAACCCAGAAACCAGCTCCTAATCCAGATCTAGGTGTGACAGTAAACACAACATCCCTCCCTTTCCAGCTGTTTCCTGTCTGCCTGCAGAAGTGTGATGTGCCTCAGCATGTAAACCTCAGACCCATCTGCTCTGCTCCACACTGCTGAGGAAAAAAGCTGGTTCAACAATCTCTGGTCTTTAGAAAATAGGGTAACATGTCTGACACATTTAGTGTTGAAGGGGACAGAAATTAAACATCCTTTTTCATTCTCACCAATGTGTTGCTTTTTACGAAAAATATATTTTTAAAATCCTGAAAACACGTTGAGCTATATCTGAAAATGTGTTCCTTAGACGTAAACATGAACTTGATCCTGTCTTACTAATACATCTCTCTTCTTTCCTTAGTGGTACTTGTATTGTTAGTTAAATTAACATAGATAAAAAAGTACATTTTTTATTTTTTTATACTTCTACACTGATCGTTATAGAATCCCCCCCCCCCGCCAAATATACATGAAAGTATCAGATTTAACTTACAAAATATGAGGCTTTCTTTTTTATTTAATGTGTATAAAATGCTGATATTAGTTTTGTCATTAAATAAAACGTTAATATTTTTCTTAGACATGAATGCATCATCAGTAACATAAATCCAATGGAACTAAACAATAGAAAATAAATGACTGGGATAATAACTCGACATTATGTGTGCTGCTTTCTTGGAAAACTAACTGTATTTAAATTATTGGTTGTTTTTTTCATGAAGACGTTAAGCATGTATTGGAGTATTTTCAAACTGATGAATCATTGCTTTTTGAACTAAAAAAAAAAGGCTTCACATAGTCTACTTCCACTATTCCATATTAAAACTGAAGGTTCACTCTGAAATCACAATTAGGATCATTTAAAAGAACAAAAAAGTTGATTAACATGTATGATACGAGCGCAACTTGGACCCAGACATAATTTGACGACCACATTTTTAACCTGAACACATCTCGAACAGGAAGTGAACCAAACACAAACAAACAAATACACACACAAACACACACGCACGCACACACACACACACACACACAGAAACAACTTTTTTGGGGGATTTCTTTAAACTGCATCTTCTGGTAACTGTCACATAGCTGTGGCATGAGGAGTCATTTATTGGAGTAGTGTGTGTTTTTATTTTTAATGAAAGCAGCACAAATGTGAGTACACAGCCCTACATGGGCACCATATCCTGGATAGTGGTGACAAATGCTCGTTCGAAGCAGAACCTACATTTTTGTAATGAAGTTTTATTTTACATTAGTCTAATAAATATGACATCTTCACACATTTAAATGAAATTTCCCCCTCTCCTTACGGCTAATACAAAGCCTGAGGAGGATCTATTCACTGCAGCGAGAAAGCGATAACTCATTTTAAAAGTAATGGCTTGTCAAAAATGGGGCAGAGGGCTGTTGAAAGGGGAGAAAACAAATTAAATAAAAATGGATCGTTGCTTAACCTTAAGCAAACCATGTTGGAATCCATTAAAATACTTCATGAATCAGTGGCTTTTTTTTTTTTTAGGTTAAAGAATGCTTTGATCTCTGGGTACAATTTCAGAGGCAATAGATATCGGCCCTAATGTGATTGCTTCTGTCATCATGATTCAACAGATTACGTATCTAATCGGTTAGTGAACAGAGAATATAATTTGCACAGATTACAAACCCAGTGGTGCCTCCTGCTGCTGCTTGGTGAAACTGGGCCGCTTGACAGTTTAGATGATCCAAAGACAGACAGATGGGTGGACGAAAAGACAACGAGTGGGAGGGAAAACCACCAAGCACCTGGTTTAATCCGTGATGGAAAAAAAAACAAACATCTGATCCTGTTCTAGAGATGGCTCAGATTTTTCTGGCGTGAAGATGTGCCCAACATGTGGGCACGGGAAAACATGGAGCATGGAATCACACGCATCCACATTTTCCCCGAGACTGAAATGCAAAGCTATGCAGAATATCTGAGACATGGCTGCAAAGGAAGTAGGACTATATATAATGAAATTAAAGTGACTCAGGCGCTGTAATATCCCTGGGGTATATAGCTAGTTGTTTTATGGGGGGAGATAAGAGGATTTTGTCAGGTTGAGGTGCCGGCTAATGCTATTGTTCCTACTGGGAGCATAAAACAGCAAAGGAGCTTTTCACACATCTTTTCTTTCTTTGTAGTGCTGTTACTGTAGATATTATTTCAAAGCACAAGGTGGGAAAAAAAACCCATAACATTGCAGCATCAGACATCATATGCAAAGAACGCAGCTTATTTATTTATGTGAGAACCCACCCACTAAATGTTCCTCTCTGAGTATTTACAGACAAATTAATTCAAGGAAAAGACATTTTAAAACAAGTTTGCACTCAGAGAACAGCCTTTAAAGAAATTACGCAGAAAATCTCCTCCTTTGTACTCATCCTCTCTCATCCTCATCTCGCACTTATGCGCTCCCACATGTACATAATCAGGCCTTGAAGGTACTGAAAATGACCACTGAGGACCAGTTCTGTTCAAATGACCATGAAATTCAGTTAGAAAGATGTCTAATGTTAACTTTTCTTCCATTACCTTACAATGACTTTTACTGCAACATTTCCTCTTATCCCTATTTAGTCATTTTCCTACCTGTCTTCACTTCTTATTCACTCATTAATCCCTCCAGCTAAAAGCGATACAAAATATGGAACTTGTCATATCAAGTCAGCCAAATCACTGAGTCATCTACACCTCCTAGGTGTTGAAAACAAACACATTCATCCAATTTTTTTCACCTCAGAAAAAAACAATCAGAAAACAGGAAAGAAGAAAAAATTACATTAGAATTTTACATTACACGTTACTGTAAAGCTCCAGTGAAATAATCCGATACCAAGTCGATCCGTATAATTGAACCCAGGTTGCACTCTCATGCACAAGAGGCAGAGTCACACTGTGCGGCAGAAATAATTTGCATTCAATTTACAAAAGAAGTGCAGATGGTATTACCTGTCACAATCCAACTTTACACCAATCTGCCAGCAGCCAACAGGGCATTTTTAAACAATCTCACGCTAAAATAACCCTGCATGCAGTCACCGTTTACTCGCATTATGAGAGAGATTGCTGGGGACTGTGGGGGCCGCAGAGCAGATCTGTACTGAAGAAGTAAAGGTTTCCCACCCATCCCCCCTCCTTAAATCCATAAAGCCCTAACACCTGAACCAAGTGGTGTTCATCAAAATACTTGTTTTACACCTGAGTACAGCAAAAAAAAAGAAAAAAAAAGAGGCAGTGTCAGGTGATTTTTATAACTGTAGTTAAAGAAACAGTTAGTGTTTTTAAATGAAAATCAGTTGGGGGTAAAATGATCCATAATGGAAGAAGAGGAGAGGAAGAGGAAGAAGGAGGAAAATGAAGGAGTCAGAGGTGAGGAGAAGGATCCTGAAAAAAGTCATGTTTTTATTCTCTTTCATTTCAGGCTGAGGCTGAAGACACACTGAGCAGCTCCACATTGTGTGCATTAGCAAGGACAGACAGCCTGCTATTGTATTCTGCTATATTTTGTGTGTATAAAATGACTGCATCTCTACTGCCAGAGTAAAGCAATCAGAAAAAAAACCACTCAAGGATAATACAACACGCACTTTTACGCACGCACACATTTACCCACACATTATCAGCATCTGCAGCAGAAGCATCAGAGCCGAACTAGGCGCACAAACTCTTTGCCATAGCGATGCTGAGATAATAAAACAAGCCACAGGCGTGTTTAACTTCTAAAGGAAAATTAGAGGAAGTTGCTGGGAGCGCGAATAGATAGATATAGATAAAGGAGGGGCAGCTTAAGTGGGAGCAAAGGGGGGAACGCTTAGTGAGCAGAAATCTGCGCGTTTTGTAGACTGGAGAAAAGACTCACAGCCGTTCATTAAGATGAGTTAATCCAAAACAAAGAATGAACAGTTTAAAGGTGTTTCTGTGGTCTGAACAGCTGATGTGAAGTTTTAACTACTTCCAATCAAGTTCCAGCGCGCAAAGATGTTGTGGAGATCCTGCAAATTCTGCTGAAATCTAAAGAACCATACAAATCTACAGGTTATAGTATATAAAAATCCTATATAGCTTAGTTAAAAAACTATTTATTTGAGCCGATTAAAAAAACAAAAATGCGTGTTTCTTTTTGAGCTGAAGGAATTCGAGGAAACGGAGTGGAGAGTGCAGGTGTTTCCTTCCAAACGCAACAGCCCCGGATCTGATGGATAAATGTGAAAAATGTGTACTCTAAGGTGTTTTCCCATTAATATTAACTTACCTTCCGTAGGATCCACTGGCAGAGGAGAACTACGGTCCAACCGAGAACCTGCATGTCACCGTCCTTAACGCAGACCACCCCGTAAAAAAAAAACTACACGCCTCTCCGACTGGACATAAAAAGACGCACCGTGGAATCCAAGCAATCCCAACAGGCAGGCGACAGGTGAAAAGTATTACGGAAGCAGAAAAACACACGCAAAGTTGTGTGTTTGTTCAGTCGGAGTCGCGGATGGTGCTTTCGAAAAACTTTGAGCGTTGTGATCAGTTCCTGTGGTCCGCCTCATGTGGCACATCCATGCGGTCTGCCTCCGCTCATGCTGCTGCGCGTCTGCTGGAAGTTTGCGCGGAGACGAAGTCAGTTTGGAGGGTGGACGCGAGGAGAGGATCATCAGCGCTTCCTGTGTTTTTGGACACTGACATCCTCTTTCTCTCTCTCTCTCTCTCTCTCTCTCTCCCCCCCTCCCACCCTCAATCTCTTTCTCTCGGTGTCCACGCGCGCGTCACAGCGCACATGCAGCGAACGATTATTGGCAGCCACACTGGCCACAGCTGCATGCTCGTATTTTTTTTGTGGGGGGGAATAATGAGGTGACTATACTCCTGTAAGTACTTAATCAGAGACATGTCAGGAGTTTCATGTGTGGGATTAGGTTTAAGTCAACTTTAAGGTAGTGTAGTTTTAGAATGAAAAGACAGACATGAGTGGATACAATATGACTTTTAGATGCTAATTTTCTCAACCAGGCATTATTTTCAACTATTCTTGCAGAGCTGAAGTAATAATTTTACAAATGGATGAACAATTATTTAAAAGTGCTTGTTGAAGCGGATATGGCAAACAGTTCCTTTTTCAGCTTGACAAATGTGACAATTATAAATTTCTCTGTCACATCAGATAGAAAATTAAATATATCTGAGTTGCAATTTGAAACTTCATAATCAGAAGTTGTTTATAAGTACTGATATAAGGCTAAGTTTTGTCATTCTTTTTTAAAAACACATTTCGCTGACGTTTTATCAAAATAGATTAACGAGTCTAACGAGAATATTTTCTTTATTATGATTATCACGAGACAACCAAGTTTCACAGGCGTGTGGCTATTACTTTGCACACATTGTTATCTTCACTCTCTCTGCATTCCTACACTTTAGGAGAACCAACCAAACAGTACGCAGATAGAATAAACTGGAGTAAAGACTCCACAGATTCTCCATTTGAGATTCAACGTGTTTAGTCTTTGTAACAACTACAGTAATCTGTGAGTCTGGCTTACAAAAAGTCTAACACAAATAGAAAAACAATCATTATATTACTAGACTAAAACCTTGACTGCTCTGTTTAAAGTGTGTGTTTGTGTGAACGTGTGTGATGGAGGCCAGCAGCACAAGCTGGCCTGACTATAAATTCCCAGAAAAACAATTTTGAAATATTAATGTTGCATGGATATATTGGGGCAGCGTGGCCCCACATCTCTCCCTGATGGCCGGTCCCAGCTGCTGCTCGCCTGATTGTGGACCTTTAAAATGTACTGATCTGGGATGCACACAGTTAGGAGATCACTGTGTGTGTGTGTGTGTGTGTGTGTGTGTGTGTGTGTGTGTGTGTAGGGTTATATTATGCTGACAATCAGTCATACTGAACTGCTGAATAGATAGTGGACGTCTCTTCTGTATTTCATGTTTGTCTCGACTTTCTGTCTGTGTGTGATGACGTATGTCCCCCCTTGATACCCGTCTGTCTGCATGACTGACTGACCAGCTAACCACCTTGTTAACCTCTCTGTCTGATTATCTGTTCACCTGTTTTTGTCCTGTTACAAAAAGTATATATTTACAGTGTCTATACAGTATTAAGGGCACAAACTTGACTATATTTCTGATGTCTTTTTTCCAAGAGACATTTTTTCTGAATCCAAAGATGAAAGTCTTCACAGACATTTGAGCGCTTTGTTGTTGAGATATCAGATATTTGAGCTCACCTGCTGCATGTCCTCACACTCTTCTTCTTGCATTTACAAAGCCACTTTTTTGGACTGCTGGTCCTCCTGTTGTTGGACTCAGAGGCAGAGGTAAAGTTGGGCTGGTCAGTGCAGTGAGACCCTGTCACAGATGGAGAGGAGTGTCTGTGTAAAATGAGCTGCTTTGTGGGTATGTGTGGATCCATATATGTGTATATTAGCAATCTGTTATAAGTCTTTGAATGCAGGATGTCTGCAGTCTGTCTGTGACACAGCACTGCCTCCCTGCGAGGCAAACAGTCATTGCATGCAAAGGCAAACATAGTGCTGAGGAGAACATTTTAACAAAGAAGTGAGTGGAGTGGCACACATCTTTCTGATGGTTACTTCCTATAACCAAAGAAAAAGCTGAATTTAAAGCATGCAGACATCTATCATGGAGTATTGTTTGGCCATTGCATATTTCACATAATCTGGAAAGACACCAAGAGAGAAACACTTGAGGGTCGGACTGAGAAGAACTCTACTGAGAAGGAAGAAGAAAAGTTAGATTATTTCACCAATGTTTTTCTACAGTAAAATATGATTCAAATCTTAACATGGGAGAGTATAGCATATATCATATTTTTATACCTATGATTTTCTGGTGGGCTTTTCCCCACCTTCATTGAACAGAGACAGCAGAGAGACCGATTCTGGCCAGCGATGGTGAAACCATAGCAATGAAGCATGCTATGAAAACAGTAGCTGCCACTACTTTTATACAAAGCAACTTAAAGTAAATGCATTCCAGCATGTATATTCAATTAATAAATTGCATGAACCGTGCCGGTACATCTTTTTTTTTACCGATGCTAAATACAATGCTTTTGCTAAACTGCTAAAATGGCTGTCTTAAAAATAGCTCCAGCACGAAAACCCCAAACCATTCAAGAAATGCATCCAGTACTATGTTACTTAATCTATAAATAAAAAATATTCTAGGATGTATTTGCTGTGCTGCAAAATCTTTATAATGGACGCAACCCTGAACATTCACTGACTTAAATATATATATTTAAGTATATATATATATATAAGAAAAAAACAGGGACTTGGTTAGATCAGTCATGACTTAAGCCATGGCGTGTTTACCAATTATGTAATGAGACATCTTCCCTCACCTTTACCAAAGTAATTTAAAACTAAATCACTGATGGAACTGCATATACAAACCTCAGATCTGTGGTCAGTCTTAGCCACACTTTAGGTGTGTTATCAAACTATATAGAAATCTTTGCTTGAACATAACTTTGTTAATTTATAGCTAAGTTTGGTTGAAGCACATTTTGGATAAAGTAGTATGAAAACAACATTTCAAAGAGATCAAGGTCGAATGTATGATTTTAGAGAAACACAAAAGGCCTTTAAGAAATATGAATACTTCATGTTTCCTTAACTAACATAAAAAAATGCTTCATTGGGTTCATCAAACACCATGAGAATAAGTTACCCTTACTGTCCATCTTCCAGCTGCTGTAAATCAGTGTGTTACAGTCATTGCTTCATTTTAAGCAGACCATGAAAACTTGTCCATCAAAAGCAGCAGGTCTCAAAGAATGTGACCGTTTCCCATTTCCACCACCGCCCTCCATTCAATCTACTGTCTGTGATTTGTACGGCCACAACACACCTTGTCCTCCTGTTTCCTCTCTATTTTCCCCACTGTCGTATAGGGTCTGCCGGTGTGAGTGCAATTTCTGATCCACATTGGAAGTGGCAGGTGAATTTCTCCCAGCTGCTCCCCTCCTCTGTTCCACTTAGCGGCGACGCTTCTGTTTCGAGTCACTCGGTCAATGCACGGTGATCCTAAATGAATGAACATGCTCTGAGCAAAAGCAGAGTGCATCTACTTCTACGAATACCATCCTCACATTATTCTTCCTCTTCTTCCCTTCTCATATGTCAGAATAAAGTTCTATCATCAGCATAACGGCACACTTTAAGGCTGCATGTGTTCATCAACTTGTTTTTTGCAAACATATTGAAATAGGAATGTATAAATAATGACAATTACAGTCTTCTTAGAGAGCATGCAGAAGTTTTTTAACCTCCAATCAACCTTGAAGCACAACTAATGTCTTTTGATTGGTTCGGAGAAAAGCAGGCAGAGGTTGGGGAGAAGGTGGAAGGATAGTGATGGAGTAAGATAAAGCTTCTAATGGGAACTAGCGAACCATGAAGAAAAAAAGAGAGGATTAGTACATAGGCTGTAAATATGAATGGAGGAAGCCTGAGTGACGTCACCCATCTGTTACTGCAGGGGGCTTTGGAAGCCCTTTGTTGGCAGTCGCCGGCTGGAAATGCTGTCTCAACCTAACTTTCAGTCAAACGAACGACAGGCTTAGAGCTGGAGCTTAGAAAAGTTTAAAGCCTCTTGACAAATTGTTTCATCATGCCTGCCTGTCAATCAGGTCAGCTACACACCTATATGCATGACTTGTATCCTTCATAAAATCAAAACAGAGGAGTGTGCTGATGAAGACAATAACTAACCAGACCAACATAATTTTTGTGTACCAGGCTGTAAGCATGTTCATTTCTTTTTTTTTTAAGATTTATTTTTGGGCTTTTGTGCCTTTAATGCAGAGATAGGACAGTGGATAGAGTCAGAAACCATGGAGAGAGAGTGGGGAACGACATGCGGAAAGAGGCCACGGGTGGAAGCGAACCTGGGCCTCCCGCTCGAGACGACAGCCTCAATACATGGGGCGCGCGCCCTAACCATTGCACCACCAGCGCGCCCCAACATGTTCATTTCTGCTGTTAAAACAAGTGGACACTCGAGGAACTGCAGTTTTTTGCACTTCGGCGTTGGCTTCATTTTTCAGCATCGGAGGTGATCACTGGCACACCCTGTACAGGGTGTGAATTTTTTTGCAAACGGCTCTGTTTTGATTTTGAAAATGATACATGTTATCCATAGTTAGGCACGTGGCTGACATGATTGACAGGTGGGCTTAAAATCCTGTCGTTAGGGTGACAAAGTTAGGCTGAGACAGGATTTCCAGCATGGCGGCTGCTGCTGATGGGCCTCCGGAGCCCCCTGCTTTAACAGATGACTGACGTCACTCAGACGTCATCCATTAATATTTATAGCTTTGATTTTGCTCCACAAACTCAACTAGTTCCAAAACTTAACTGAAATTGAACTGTTGCCAAGCAACCCAAACATCACTATTGCTACTTTGTTGTGCCCATGGTTACAACAGATCAGCTACTTTATTTTTTGCACATTTATGTGTGAGTCCAATCAGATTACTTGATCGGAACTAACTGTTTTATAATCCATAATGTAGCATCCTATATCATGATCAATCAATATTTTGCTTTAATATCTTTGGCACATTTTACACTTAACAACTTTAAGTTTCTCCGAGCTAGAAAAACAC